CAAACAAAAATAATCCAAATTCCAGGCACACAGCCTGCCTGACTGAAGCTGGACCAGGATTAAAAGGAACTTCTGTACTTCCTCACATCTCAGCATCTTGTTATAAGGAAGAGCATGCCCCTGCTGGGAGAGGGGCGAGAACATAGAGAAAGACCCCATTTTGAGGCACAGGCGTGTAGGGATAGCTGGAAGCGGAGGGGAGATTGAGAAAACAGAAAAACCCTGTCACCCAGCTCCTCCTCTAAGCTCAAGGTAACAGCAGCCTACTTCTAGAGGAATTTGAAGACTGTGGTATACTAAAGGTAATAACAAAATCCAGACCTAGGTCAACTCTTGATTAGATTGATTCAGCTCCCCCATCCCCACCCCACCCCCTGCTATACTAAAACTTCACAAAAGAAGAGGCATGTCCATTTCTATGCATGAATGCTATTTACTTCAGTGTCTATTGCTCTTTCTTCACATAATGTCTGGCATGCAATTAAAAATTACAACACACACATAAGAAAAAAAAATTATTGTCAAGAGACAAAACAATCAATAGAACCAGACTCAGAGATGACCTAGATATTGGAACTATGAGATGGACTTTAAAATAACTGGGATTAATATGTTAAAGTATATAATGGGGAAAGTGGACAACATTCATGAACAGATGGGGAATTTCAGAAGAGAAATAAAAACTATAAGGAAGAGTCAAACAAATTGCTGGAACTAAAATAAAACTACTTCCTTGGCGATGAGGAATTTCTTCAACAAGCTCATAGATGAGGAAAGAATCAAAGAATTTGAAAATAAGTCAATATAAATTATCAAAATTGAAACAAAATATAAAAAGGAGTGGGGAAAGAAAAGTAGAACAGAGCAGCCAAGAACTGTGGGACACTATCAGCTAGTCTACTATCTGTAACTGGAGACCCAGAGGAGGCATCTTTAGGAAGAGGAATCTGACAAGCTGGTGTTTTTCTGAGAAAGGCATGTGGTTAAAAAATGGCCACAAGTAATTTTCACTTTGCTCCCCTGCTTCCAATTTAGCTGAAGCATTTACTCTCATATTCCTCTACCTCCTTCTTGCTTATCCTCCAGTTATTTGGGGGAAGATGTGTGTGGTTCCATGCTCCCCTGGCCCCTGTCAGCCGTCTGTCTGCCATTTGGCATCAAGAGGAATGGATGTGAAGGTTATATAGTGTAGATAAAAAGATACAAAGCAAGACTCAGCAGCCTGCCTTTTAACAACTTAATTTAACTAAAACAAGACACACGAATCCTGGCTTTGAAGAGGTGGTACATTATAGTTCATCTTCTGTTTATCGTTATAGCTAAGAGCAAATAGCTCACAGAGCTTGCATCCCTTTACCCCTTCTTATTTTAGCAATAAAAAACCAGCTTAAAAAATAAAGCATTAAATATAGTATTTATCCACGAAACACTCCTTTGGTACCATAAGTGGACTCCTGTATAGACCAGCTATGCATCTAATAAGATAATTGTACAAGCTCCTTTGTGTACATGTGCAGTATGTTAGTTTTCAGGCATTCTGTGGTATGGGCTACTGGATGGTGGCCAGCCAGCTTCCTGCTGAGGCCAGTTGCTGGAGAAAACTCGCTACAGTAGGTTGGGATGCTTTGCATCCCTTGAATTCAGATGCTTCCTGGAAGAAAGAGGAAGGCACTTGATGAGGCTGGAAGTATAGTTCCTAAAATTTTACCCAGTGGGTTTAGAATCTGAACTCAGGCACGGCTTCCCATGTTGCCATTGTTAATGAACTTGCAGCCCTGGCTGTGCAGAGGCTGCCTTGTACAGCCTCCGCGAAGCTTTGCAGAGCTCCTTGACAGAGCAGCTTCTTTCTCCTCTGTGCGACTTCTAGGCTTATGCGTGCCATTTGGGGCATTTTCACATGATTTTGCATTTATTTTTAATGCATCTGTTTCCTCTACTGAAGTGAGTTCTTTAAAGCTAAGAGTTTGTGTTTTATTCATCTCTAGCCTGGTGCCAGGCACAGAGCAGATTCTCAGTAAACATTTGCTGAATCAGACTAAGTAAATGCTCAGCATGAGGTGACTGCTGTGACTACACTGTAGTTGAGACAGATGTTTGTCACAACCGTGCTCCTGTGTGACTGTCTGCATTAAATCCCTGGGCCTTACACACCTACCGTAGCTGTGCCAAAGTGGGCTTGTTCTGTGGCTTTGATGAGGGCGTTGGATTCAGATCACCACAGTCAGACTTGAAAGTAACTGAGGGTGACTCTGTTGAAAACAAACAAATTAAAAATAAAGTGAGAAAATTTCAAAACCATAAAGAAGAAAGAGAACATTGAGCCAGGACCGGGTGGGAGCTGAGTGAAACTATGAGAGATGCAGCTGCCTGGTAATAAAAAGGGGGAAACATGCTTTCATCATCTGATTAAAAGAAACATACCTGTTCTGGGCGGGGGCGGGGAGGGGGGGGCAACCCTCTTTTTTCCTGGGAAATCCAGCTTGGTTCTATATGTGGCTGTGCCCTGGAAAGGCTGTGTGACCTTAGCTAATCATTTGACTACTCTGGTCCTTGATTTCCCAGCATTCAGGGTCTCTAATATCCCTTTCTCTCCAGCATGCTCTGCAGAGACAGTCTGCCTAGAATCCCCTCTGAGAGAGATCCTGACACTGGCTCCAAATACCAGGACCAGCCTCCCAGAGCTGTAGCAATAAACCGGAGGTGTTTTCCTTCTAGATTTGCCAGTCTCCCTCCTTTGAGGCACTCAGGACCAAGGAATGCTCATGGAAAGTGATTGTGCTGTGCCCCTGCTGCCACAGCTGAGTCCCCTGCGATAAGCTGCCTGCTGCAGCTTCCCGGGCTCCCACAGCTAAAAAACGCCACCCCAGTTCCCAAGTAATCACAGAAGGCCTGTGCTCAGCGCCAGATAAGGCGCTTTGCAGATCGCAGTGCTCGGGAAGGGAGAGACTCCAGTGCAGACCTGCATGGGGGGCCGGGGGGGGGGGGGCTAGTTAAGGACACAGAGCTGGAGAAGTGGCGTCCAGAGCACAGTCACTTGACAAATTGCTTTTCCGTGAATTTGTGTTTTGCAAATTGATTTGAGGGGAACGGGTTTCCTTCAGCACAATGCTCTTCCCCCTTCCCCAGATTCCTGTCCTAACAGATTGCTGTCTTGCCTTCAATCACTTTCTCCCTTTCTCTTATCAAAACTGGCTTTGACCTAGACTTTATCTGATAAGCTTATTCACACTGGGGTGTGAATAATTCACACCGCTTTGGACCCTACATTTAATGGTGTTCGAAATCTACAAGAGGAGGAAACCCAATTTGCAGACATTGGCAGGGGGAAATATTAGGTGAAGGAGTCCTCTCACCACCCACCCCCACATCTTGCCCCTCCCCCACACACACCTTGGTGTGGCTGGCAGTGC